TGGCACCTAACAATAACAACAAGTCTAAACAGCCACTGCTTTTGCAGTACCTACTCTACCTGTTACAGCATATTTGAAATAAGGAAGTGTGAGTCCTCCTCCTTTGTTCTTCTCTTTCAATACTGCTTTATCTAATGTAGGACTTGTTCCATTCCACATGGAGTTGAAGACTGCTGCTGTTAGGTGTGGTCAGTAAGAACCAACACATAGCTGCCCTTCCAGTGGGTTTCCAAAGGCTGTAAATGACTTGCAAGGAGACTGCCAATCTTTCTTCCACAAACCAGCTTATAGATTCAAATTGCCCGTCTTTCGTCTTTGTGTTGGCAGCAAAACTCCCTACCTACAAGGCCACCAGAGCTCCCTCCATACAAAAGGCTGCTGGAATACGGATCAGGATTGTGTTCAAACTACAGATTGCTTTGAGTAATACTGACATATTACACCTTCTAATCTATTTTCCCCACTTGTTTACATTTTCATCAATCCCTTTAAATAATATTTTATCATTTTCACTGTAAAAGTATTAATCCTATTGTAAACAGATTGTTTTCCAAATTTCTATTCTCGGTGCTGGTGGATAGTAATCACTTGCCTTTTTTTTGGTGAGCTCTTAACCTTCATTTATGTTAGATTATTAGCTCAAGACATTTTCTTTTATAGTATTATCTCTCTATATAGAATCATAGCATCCATGAAGAGATAATTTTGCTACTTCTTTTTAGATCTGGGCATCTTTTTATTGCTGTAATTAAGACTTCTACTACAATACTGAACAGAAGTTATGAGAATGTGTAATGCTATCTTATATCCTCTTTCACGGAGAAAGTCGGTTTTCTTTTTGTTTAAGGAGAAAACTCTTAATCTTTCATCATTAAGAATAATGTGGGCTGGTGGCTTTTAACATGTGGCCTAAATCATACTGTTGCATTTCCTCTCTACACCAATCTTCAGGAGCTCCAGTGAATGAGTGGCAAGAAGCTGTGCTGCAATCCCATAGGGGTATGGTTCAAATCCACCAGATTCCATGGGAGAAGGATAGGCAATCTACTTCTGTGTAAACAACAATGCTTAAAAATACTTCCTCAAATCTATATATCAATCTTCTTCTAAATTTTCATTGTGAAAAGATGTTGGATTTTATCAAAAACTTTCTCCGCCTCCACCATAAAAAAAGCAACAGCAAAACCCCCATCCCCCAAAGCCCAACAAACACCAACCCCCCCTCCAAAAAACCCAAAACCCCAACCTCACTGTCTACAAGGCAGAAGCAACTCATCACTAATGCTCCAGTAGGTTTTCACAGGCTGTGAATCACATGGGAGGACATTATCTTTCTCCTATGGAGCAGCTGTTGGATTTGAACCAGCTGCCTTGGGTTTGGATGTGTAACTTCCTACTGATTAAAGCTCTTTAACTTTTGCTCTTCTTACGTGGTGTATTATATTGATAAATTTTTCTCATATTAAATCATCTCTGCATTCCTGGAATAAACTCCACTTGGTTAAGGTGTATATTTCTATTTTAGAAAAACTGTTTCTTTTAATACTATGGATTCTCCTTGTTAATGTTTGGCTGATTTTTGCATTTATATACATATAGCTCATATTCTGATAAGACATAGTGAATTTCTTAACTAACATTGTTAATAATAAACAGCATCTTTAGTTAGTTTTATCTGTTATCCCTTATATCAGTATTTGATATCATTATAACATCTTTAGAAAAGAGATGAGTGGAACTTTGTTCCAAGGGAGGACGAAGCAAATCATCTATATTCTATAAAGCACATAATAAATGTGGACCATTATAAAACATGTCATATGTTGAACTTAATAATTAGAATTTTTCAGTAATTTTTTTCATATTTAAGACTGCTTGTTTTCAGACACTGAAAATAAATGCTAACTTTTTCTTGTAGTGTCTTTGTTTTAGGTACAAGGGTTATGTTTATCTTAAAGATTTAATCAGGGAGTATTCAGACTTTATTTTTAACATGTTGTTGCACACTTTTAAAATTGACGACCTTGCTTAGAAACACATTTGCTGTCATTTGGGGCAATGTGTTAAGCAGATAATGTCACTGATTCTCTAAATGTCTGATAGACTCCCCCACCAGGGAAAGAAGAACCTAGTCCAGAAGTACTGTTGTTAGGTTTATGATCACAGAATCAATTCTGTCATCTGTTACAGGTCTGCTGAGGCTTTCTATTTCCTCTTTTTTTTTAACA